CTCCCTTTTTTTCTTCCGGGTCCTCCCCCCCCCCCCCTTTCCCCTACATCCCCCATCCATACCTATTACCATCCTCTGCATACATACCATATCCTATTACCATCCTCTGCAAGTGCAGCTCTCCAAGTCACTGCCTGAATTTACAAATGATCAGTAACTGTAGCAGGCAGAGGAACCCGAAGCGTTATTTTGACTGGATGTGTTGAGGAGTGCTGCTGCTGCTCGTGGGGTTTGCGTGAGGAAGGGGGCATTGCTAGGCCTCAGCCAACCTTACCAGTGGAAAAGCCAAGCGCTGCTGTAGCACTTGTAAGCCTTTTTGCTTTGGGACCGGCATCCCCATGCCTGGGAGTGTGCGTGAGCATCACTCAGTCCTATGGGGGTCACAGTCTTTGATGAAGGAGTACATGCGCAGCTTGCCTGTGGGAGTGCTCTTGTAGCTCCCTTTATTTCTCTCATACGGCTGTCAGGGATGTGCAAAGGCTGAAGAATTAGTTTTGCATCTAGCACAAGTTCTTAATTTTCTCAACAGGAGAGACAGCCAGGTCAAAGAGAGAATTGCAGTGTTATGATAACAAGATGTCAGGTGCTACCCTCAGGTGATGGAACAGCCTAGCTGTGGTCACTCAAGCTGTCCAGTAGTAAAGAGCTGTGGACTCGGGAAGAAATCCTGAGTTTGATCCAGGTTCAAGATACTTTCTTGTACTATTTTTGAGGGATTATTTTTAACTCAGATCCACCTTACTGGAAGCCTCCAAATAACTGTTTTGGGAGACCTTCGGGGAGATATGTTTTGAGATCAAGAGACCAGGAACAGGAAGCTCCTCAAGCCAGCTTTGCTACTGAACAAATGGTGCATGGAAGTGCACCCTCGCTTACAGCAGTGAGGCAAAGACAAGAGATGGCTCTTTAGGTTGAGGTTACAGGAGTTTAGATGGGTCCCAGTCCCTGAGCAATGAAAACACAGCCAGATCTGGTGTGGAACTTGGTGTTGCTCAGTTCCAATCCTGTTGTGTGACTGTGTTTAAGAGCAGATATGATATCTGAGAGAAAGCGATTTGGAAAGACAGGGAGGTGGAGAGAGGTCTGTTGTCTTCCCTGCACAGGTGAGACTGCTGAAACTCAGGTTTGTCGGTATGAAGCCCCCCGCTCCCCCTGTGAGCACCAGGAGTGGTTCGGGTTCTGGTTTCACATCTCTTGGGCATGTTTCCAAGCACACTGAAACCCATGAAAAGACTCTCCTGACACCGGTGGGCTTTGGCTGTGGCCAAAAGCTGGCTGCAGGACCACGCTGTACTCAGGCTACATTAAATAACCACTCAGCTTGTTTCATTTCCATTGTTGTTATTTTTATAGTGTGACTGGTGCTGGTTAGATGGATTTGTGACACTCTGAATCCCCTCTTGACACAAAGCACCGTGTGAAGAGCTTGGCATTTAGTTAGTAACGACCACATGCAGACACAGCGAAGGTTTATTTTTGCCTGCTGAAGAGTGTCTTATGAGGCCAAGAAATAGAATATGCAAGAGCTGCCTTTGAGACAAGGGGAATTAATCCTTCTTTCCCTCTACCTTTTGCTGTGTTTGCTGCCTTTCTGTGCTGCCCGCTATACGTCAAGCGGTCCCGCACATGCTGATGGCCTTCCGCAGGAGCGGGACTGCTCAGCGTACAGCGGGCTCCAGGTGCTCCGGGTGTATTCACACCCATCCCACAGAAAGACCCTTCTCCTCCTCCTTGCACCCAGTCAAAAGCCACACGCAGGTGACACAAAGGGGCAAAGGCTGCTTTTGCCATGATTTGTGTGTGGCTGCCGCCCCCACACACAGCACATTACGTGAGGCATCACCACGGCTCCTGTGAAGCACGTGCACACCTTCCTTTGACACACGCCGAGGAGACACGATGATTGCCCTTCCTCGACTTAGCAGGCCCACCACCTGTCCTCTTCATCCGATCTTTCGCTTTGCTCTTAGTTCAGCATTTCTCGATTTAGTGTCCTGGCACCCTGATGACAGCCTGTGGTATTTTAGCCTTGATGTGTGTTCCAACCTGTGCTTCTTCCACAGGCAGAACTGCCTCTTTCCTTTTGGAAATGTAAATGTCGTGTGGCTACTCATCATTATGGAAAAATGAAAGCTCCAGAACAACATTTCCAAATATTTTTCAAGGCAATCCTGTTGTTCTGGCAAATGTCCAGTAGCAATCCACATACAGATGTGTCTTTAGTAACAGTGGGGGGCTTTTGCACTTCTTAACCTTACAGTATTGCCTTAAAAGCATCCTGGACAGTGCAGATAAAACTTGTTCCCTTGCAATGGCTGGTGAGTGGCACATGTGACTTGAGGAGTGGGATACTGGCCACTGTGTCACATAGCTCAATCCCAGAGCTGATGCAAACATGTCTTACTTACAGTTGCTGATGTCAGTGGAAACCTCCAGCGTGGGCTGGGCACTGGAGGCCAGCCTTGCTTTTGGGTGAGTCAGTGGGACGTATGTCAGCAGCAGGAGACTTGTGTTGCATCACGGGACGGTCAGTGTCCAGAGCTGATGCTGTCTGGGCCAGAGGATCACGTATTACGGAGCCACCCTCTGTATTGCCCAGACCAAGTGTCCCTTCTGCTGAAGCTTACCCCAGGCAGAGATCATTTCAGCTGGAACGATTTCAAAGCAGAAACGTGCAGTATGCTTTCTGATACGCTCCACTCCTCTGTGCACAAGAGAGTCAAGGCTGTTTCTCGGTTTTGCACTTAAGCGCTGAAGGCTTTGCAAGGAAGGAACAAAGGTGGGGAAATATCAGCATTCAGGATATGTCTGGGTAGTTCAGTCCCCACCAACCAGAAAAACTCCAAAAAGATGTGAGAACAACCCATAGTTGTATGAGCTCTCAGAGAATAAACCTTCATAAAACTGTGACCAGCTACCTTCTGTGTAAAATCAGAGGCTCAGCCCACAGCAGATCTCTTGAGGTTGGTTGGGACTCATCTCTTTTATACGAAGGCCGTGGTTTCACAGCAGCATCCATCCAATGTGAGCCAGCAGTCCCGTTGAAAGGGTGTGACCCAGCTGCTTGCTTCTGCCCCATACTGTCCTTTCCCTTCCACATGTTTAAATCTTATTTATATATGCTGACCCCAGCCAGGGAGCTGGTTCAAGTTAAATGCTGTTCCTTGCTTCCAGGTTGCTCTTGACCTGGGTCAGATCCTGAAGCCAGTAGAGAGCAGCAGCACAGACATCAGCAATAGGAGAAGGAAGGTGGAGGCCAGAGCACGAGGGGCAATGGGACCTCTGCTTTCAGCAGCAGGCTGGTTTAAAATGACTGTGAAACTATGGGAGAACTTTCAGTGTCTACAGTGCAGGATAACCATGACCCAAGAAATCATGCAGAGCTCAAATCTTTTTTTTCTCCAAAAGCTTTTTTTATCTGGAGTCATTGATGCCGCTGTGAGGATTAAATTGGAAGGCTCAAACTGGAAATTATTTCTAGGCTTTTTGCTGGAACACAAGCTATCCACAAGATGAGGTTGTGAAGGTCACGCTTTTATGAACAGCTGTGAATCACTTTCATTTGCACTGAAGGGCGCAATGCAATTCCCTTGGTTGCGCTCATTCTTATGGCAATTCCACCAAAACATAATTCCTGCAGGACTCCTCAGCACGTCACTGATTTAGGAAGCTCAGGGATCTGTGGATAGTTTTCCTTCAGAAGCTGTGTGAATGGCTGCACCAGTGCTTGTAGAAGTCCAAATCTACTGAAAAAAGTCCAGGCATGTAGCAATGCAAGTCCCAGTATTGCACCCGGTGTTCATTATCATCCAGCCTTTTGCACTGTGTTACCCATCGCTTATCCACGCTCCCAGGCCCCTCTAGTCAGGAGTTATTTCTGTTTAGTGATCTGAGAACAGAGCCAGGGAGCTGTACGTAATCCCAGCCTTAACACCCATTAGGCACATAGCCTGAGGTGAGGGACGTTCCCGAGTCTGTGCTCCCTGCTGCTGAATAGAGAGGATCTCTTAATGCACATGGGGGCCGTGAAGTCCACCTCAGTATGACACGAGTGCTTTCTGCGAGATAGCTTAGCCTGATGAGTTCCTAACGCTCAGCTCCTCTTTCAGTGTGCACGTGTTGCTCGGTATGCCGACTCCTCAGAGGTGAGTGCTGGATTTCCTGCGCCCCGATACCCACGCATCCCTTTTGGGCATGGCTGCGTTCCCCAGCCTGGCTTGCTCCTGCCGCTCCTATTCACTGGGTTTCCTAACACCAGGGGAACAAACCAGGGGAAGGCCAGGCTGCGAGTGAGTTTGTGAGCTGTGTGTGTGCTGATGGCAAGTATTGCCGTGCTTCTCACCGTACTGACCTGTGTTACCCAAGGCTGGGGAGTGTTTCTCTGGAGAAAAACCTCGGTCCTTTCTGTTCTAGAGGATGTACCGCTGTTCTTGCTGCACTGGTGTAACTCCTGCCCCGCATCCCCCAGCGCTAGTGTAAAACCGCAGGGAAACCAGCAAGAGCAAACCTTCCTCAGTCCCTGTTTTGCTGTGTTCCCTAAGGATTGGCATGTGTTTCTCTGTTGGTGGCAAGGACACTTTTGTTTGGGATGAGCAGGGTAAATAACAAAGCCCAGTAGCAAACCCCGGTATGATGAAATAGGGTTGAACAGAATCTCCCGGCTTCAGTCTGTGCTAGAGCCATTTTTGAAAAATGTCCCACGGTCCCCAGTGCTGCTCGTGTTTACAAACTTAGGAGCGTAGTGACCGGTTTAGCTGCCGGTGCTCTTTTCAATGCTGGCCCAGTCAACTTGGTTGCTAAGAGCCGAGCGCTGTCACTTGTGCATTTTGTCCCAGTGGCAGATGAAAGGAGGGGGAGGCCTCTGATTTGGGCATGCTGGAGGATGGGGCTGCCAAGCAGCTTATCTAGGAAGAAAGAAGAAATCCAGACTGGCAGCGTCTCATGTTGGTGGAAGCGAAAGACCTTCGTAACTCCTTTACTTCTCATCTCATGTGCTTTTTGTTTATGTTGCACACTGTAATCATCCTGGGGATGGCAGCAGCGGGACTGAAGGATCGCAGTGCTGCCACCATGCTGCAGCCATCGCTGCTGGCTCATGTCGCCTCCAGGGTACCAGGCTGTGCCTTCCCACTGCCTTGAGCCCCATGTGCCGTGCAGCCCTGTGCAGCATCAATGTTTGGAGGCTGGTGATCCCAGCATGGCACTGTCTCCTCGCACACTGTGTAGGTGGCAAACCAACCCTCATATTTGGTTTGTCACCCTCCCTGTTGTCCTTTTCCAGTTCTTTGCACTAGCACGTTTGGGATGAGGGTGCCGCTGTGCAGGAGAATGAAGGCTGTTTAAGGTGGTACCTGTTTAAGCAATCATGAAACGCTGGTATTCGCAGTGCATTTTATTAGCACCCTTCTAATTTTAGCCTAAACCGATTTTATGGATTTGACTTCAAAGAGTTATTTATAAAAAGAATCACTGAATTCTTAAGTGCTTAATACTCGTGAGTTAATCTCGGGAAAGTCATTTAATGATGCTAAAGCAGTAATCAGTCCAATATGTTTACAAATTGGGCCCAAAGTCATGTTGATCTGCTTTAAATTGCGTGCCCTGTCTTTCAGATTGGCTTGTCTTACTGTTTTTCCCCGCTGACATAATCCAGTCCCTTAGACCGTGTCAATAGGGATATGCTGAGGCTCTCTCTCAGGGAGGGTTCATTCTGTCTCCACAGGCTGCCCTTTCTCTGTCTCCAAGGCAATAGATGCATTAATGCACTCTCAGACAACGGCCTGCCGTTTAAAATGCTCCTTTGTAAGGGCAGCTTTGGTAGCTTAGAGAGCTGACTACGTAATGTGAACACATTTTCTCAACGCCACAAAAAGCAGGGAGAAAAAAGAAGCTAAGTTTGTTTAGCTAGGACTACGTCGTCCTAAACCATTGGCACTCATCTTTCCATCGTGCAAACTTTTGTGTAGCCAGTTTCAGAGTACAATCATTAACAGTACTCATCTCCAAGGAGTTTATAATCTACATGGGCAGATAGTCAAGCCTTACCTCAAACAGGAGCATTAAGGGCTGGTTTAGAGCCATGATGCAGCCTTTTTGGCAGGAGCACTTGCCTTAATGCTCTTGCAGGTGAAACTCAATTTTTTCTCTCGCTGGCTGACTCATAGAAACCCCCACAGCTCTTAGGAGAGCACAGGCTGGTGGGAGCAAAACTCTGCCCATCCTGCTCCCTAGGCGATATCCCGAGAGAAGCACTGGACAAGATAAAAAGTAGTTTGGGCCAAAACATGGTGGCTTCACGCATGCCTGCAGGTGCCGTGGGAGTGTGCATTTATGCAGACTGAAGACCAGGCTGAGTGCAGCGTGAGCTCACCCTGTACTGGAGCAGAACCGTCACTGTCAGCGGTGGGGGGCTCCTGCCGCTGAAGCTGTTTGCCTCACAGAAGAGCTCTTCCCTGCCCAGTTGCCTCACTCCAGCTGGCCTCACGGTCTGCACATGACAAAGCCTTGACACAACTCAGGACATTCATCCTCCTCTGCTATGGGCAGCTTCACTGAATAGGAGCACGTTCCACTGTATATACTGCAGCGTGTCTTCTTGACAGCTTCTGTGTCAGCTCTTCTTGCTCTTGTTCAGTGGCAGGCCTTTGCTGGCAAAACTCCTTCCAGGTCTTTACACAAGTTTGTGATTTATCGCTTCTATGTTCGCAACCCGTGGAAAGTCAGGCTGCAGCATTAAAGAACAAGGGTACAATTGCGTAAGAGCTCTTTTTCCCCTTCGGGAAGGACGGAGTGAAAATCTCCAGGGATATCTGTTTGTCTTTTGGCAGTGCCTGGTAAATGCTTAAATGTGTTAAACAAGCTCGCTTGGAACTGGCATTTAAGAAGTAACAAATATTATGTTTGGTGGCGTTCTCTCAACTAACGTCTCTTAGGTGCTGTGGCATGGTTGAGACAGAGGAACAACTTTAAACCTTGCAGAGAATAAATATATCTAGCAGATACTGAAGAATCAGCGGTGTATCAGGAGAACTGTTGTGGCTGCATGTATTTGAAGGGACATTTAATACCAAAATGCTGATCGGGAGCCTTAGGCAATGTAAGAAACGCGCAAGGAGATTAGTGATGAATGGGGCTGGTTTTTGAGTGTGCAGTGCAGGGTTGTGCTCCATAGTGGCGACTGATACAGTAACGTACACCTTAAAAACTACAGCTCGGGAGTGACTGTCGGTCAGCCGAGCCAACGCGTTCAGTCAGCCATCCACAAGGTGTTGCAGTATAAAGCCAGCTCCGGGAATTTTTCCAATGAAATAATGTTGGATCTCTTCCTACACATGGTTGTCACTCTGAAGACAAGGTGACAGATCACACACAATCAGCAGTACAGCTCAGCGAGGATCTTAATGGGATATTCACTTAATTGTGTTATAAGCAAATCACCGTATTGGTATATTAGATGTATCCAATCCCTTCTTCGCGGTATGCTACAAATTGTATATGAGATTATTACAGTGGAAAGTACTCTTAAAAAACGAATTGACTTTGCATCAAGGGGGCTGTTCATATATCTCTGAACCAATTCAATTAAATGGTATCAGTGGTTTCATTTTTGTTCTTAGCCAGTTTTGCTTCCAGCTCTTGTGCTGGGGATTTAGAGATGTTTTTTCAACCTTTCTGTCCTTGAGCTTAAAGAACAAATGACACCTTTCCATTGCTCTAGGCATTTTGTTCCTTAAAGCTTCCCTTTACTAAATGTTGAATCAATATTTCACAGGGATGATCTGCATCGCTTTGCAACACTACCTCTGAATGGCAATTTGGGAGTTTCTTTGGGTATTTAAAGATACTTCCATAGTTATTTTGGTTATTTCAGGGAAGGAAAAATTTTCATAGAAAATCAGTAGATTCTTTAAGTACATTTGCATTTTAGCAACAGAAAGTGAAAACATGCATTGTTGTTTAATAAACTCCAGTTGAACCACAGATATTATGAAAGCGAAGATGAAGATTTCTGTGCTCTGAAACAATGTTCCTTCCTCCTCTACACCCGAATGTTTTCCCCTAACAGTTTATTCTTTCCTTTTCTCTATGTAAATATTATGGGACTCTGATGTAAGTGTTACAGATTGCATGAGTTTTCTTTTGAGGTGTTTGGAATAGACTCGCACTTAACAACTTAATCATTTGTGGGATGTGTTTTCATTAACGGATGACTTTGTTGATGTGATTCGACTTGTTTGCTTTGGTTGCACTTGACTTCAGGTTTGGAAAAGATGTCTGCTTCTGTTTTGTGGCTCCTGGGCAATGTGTGCTGGTGGAGTTGGCTGCTCCTAACTTCTTGGTTTGGCAATGAAAACTGTTGGGGAAGTACATGACTTGGGTCAATGTCTTTTGGAAATGATGGCAAATTTATCTTTGTTGCAGGGAAAAGAAGCTGATCACCATCGTATAATAAATATCTGCTCTCTTGCTCTTATTAAGTGGTGTGCAAACCTCGTTATATGAATTATCCCCTGGAAAGGCTTAGCTCTGGAGTGACTTTATCTTCCATTACAATAATACAATACCTTGCTCCTGGTTTGTGTAGTCTGTGACTGTGGTTTTCCCCATTGCTCCCGAAGAATTACAGTGACAGGAGAAACAAGTATTGCCTGGGAAAATAAGGGGGGTCCAGCTTCTCTCAAAGGTATCGAGGTGCCTGATGCCCACTGTAACTGGATTTAAGTGTCCACATTTTTCAGAGGATCTAGACCAAAGTCCTTTGCTCCTCTGTAATTAGAGTGGGCCAGGCCCTGACCTCTGTTGTACTCATGAAAATCCATAGGAGTTACTCTGGATTTAAACAGCAGCATAGATCAGAGCCTGAATCAAAGCAATTGCTGAAAAAACAGCCTGCTACTGAATCCCGTTTGTAGCTGTAGAGAGTTTTGCAAGTGAGATTTTTTTGGCCCATGTAGAATCACAGAGATTAAAGATGACAACGATCTGGCCCTACGTTCCCTTGTCCCTGCTGGGTTGTTCCCTGTGGTGCATTTAATAGCTTAGATCCCAACCCTGTCTACTTTAACTTGGAATATGCCCAGGGCTTCCCACACAACGCGTTGGTTGTATCGGTTCCCTTTGAAGGAATTAAGATAGGATGATAGGAACTGGAATTAAGGGGTCCCTTTCCTTAGGCTGTTTACAGTCAGATTCTGTCTCGCCTTAGTGAAGAGAGGAGTGTAATCTGGTCTGGATACTGAAAAGATGTTGGCAAGAGGCAGCAGCAGCTTTAGCCCTGGCACAGCAGCCCATTTCCCATTTCTGCAGCGATTCTGCCCCTCCACGCAAAGGTGTGGAGCCACAAATGTAAGAGGTGAGGGGACCCGAAACACACCTCGCTCTGAGATGGGGAGTGAGAGTCTCCCAAAGACGAGAGAGCCAGTGGGAACGTCTGGGGTAAGGTCCATGCTTTCACACAGCCACCTACTGGCTGTGATGCGGCCCCTGGGGCTGTCAGCTGCTCCCCTGGAGCAGCACACGCTGCTGGCTCTGCCACTTTGGGGACATCTGATAGCGGCCTGAGGCCCCACAGCCTCAGATCATAAAGACGGCTCTTAGAAACACACAGGAGGAGGTCACCCGAGGCCAAGTACTGTCCTCGAGAAGCCTGCGCCAGCCCGGACAACATGTTTTGCTCCTCAGTCTTCACCTTCTCCAGAAACAAACCTTGGTGTCCCAGAACCCATCCATTCACTTTAAGCCTCCATCTCCTTTCCCACTAATTCCTCACGTGTGTGCTTATTTTTCTGGTTAATCCCCTGCTTTACATTTTCTCCTGCAGAGGACTCACTCTCTTGATGTGGGAAAATCAGGTTTTTATCCTGTCATCACTCTATTCACAAAAAAAAAACAACTTCAGAGTTGGCACTCGCACAGCAGCAACCCTTTGGAGATGAGTTGAATTGCCTCCAGTCCCACAAGAGCGCAATGCTTCCACAAACATGGGACAAAGTCTGGCACCCCAGCTCAGTACGAGGTTGGGATTGCCCACAATACGGATGTCCTTCCCGAGGCAGGATGGGCAGGGAATCCTCCCTTCTCGCTCCAGGTCTTAAGAAAAGGGCCCTGTGTATTCAAGATCTGCTCTCGTCAACGATCAGGAAGGTAGTGGAAAGGCCTGGGATAGACCCAGTTCTTGCCTTTTCCAGTTCAGTGAAGCTGAAGCAAAACTGTTTCTCATTTGGCTGGTTTTCATTCACAATGAGATGGAGCAGGGGAGAAGAGGGCCTCAGCCCAATCTCCAGTGGACTTTACAGACCTCTCTGCTGCGGGGGTCAAAGCAGTGTGTGCCAGCTTGGAGGCTGAGCTCTCCTCTTGATCTTCATTGAAGCAGCTCCAGGACATGGATATGATGCCCAGGCTGATGGGGAGAATGGAGGAGCCTGCAGGGGCTGTGCCTCTGCTGTGCCTGTCATGGGGACGGGCGATGCAGGTGGCAGAGCTGCCTGGATATCCTTTTTGCCGAGCACTCAATTCCAGAGAGAGAATAATATCGGAGAAAGCAACGTACGCTAGAAAAGCATGGGATTCCCAGGAGTGTTATCAGGGCTGACGGTTCCTTCTGTCTCCTTTTGCAGCAGAGCAGTTGGCTGTAGGAGGAAGGGAGCAGGGCACATTTGCCTAATCCTGCATGCTCTCAGCTTCAGCAGCCACTGTCTCCACAGTCTGGTCACTGAATGCTCTGATTCTGGTTGCCCAACATCCCTCCGTCCTGTTTCTTTTGAAGTCCTCTTTTTCCTGGGCAAAGCCGTTGTCTCCTCGCAGCAGCACGTGGCTGGGGGTATGTTGTTGGGCCAGCCTGCAGTCCACGTCTGAGGGACCTCTGGGGAAGAGGGCAGCTGGGAGCAGTCATATGGATTGGTCTTGGGGACAGTACTTAGCCTCCAGGCTGCAGATGTGGGCATGTTCGGTTCAGGCTTTGCTGAAGCTCTGAACAAACAGCATTAAAACCAAACTTGACTCCATTTTTCATTGGCTGAGAGAGGTGCAAGGACCAACTCCCACATCAAAGATGACCTAAGCTAGGCTCCTCCAAAATATCTTGCTTCTCAAGTGGAAGGATAAAATAGTAATTCAAATAAAATGTTCCTGGACTGATTTGCCATGTTCTAGAGAACATTTAATTCTCCCCACAGTGTAGCCTTAACACCGCATTCACATATTAAAAAAAAACAATTCAGCATTATCCTGTGCCTCTCTGCAACGTGACCATCAGCATTTTCAGTACAGCCGGGAAAAAGTCAACTTCCAGCTCTTCCTGGAAACCCGCGATGGTGTCTTCCAGCCTGCCCATGCAAACGGTGATAAAGGGGTAGAAACACAGGGTCAGTGCCCAGAGGACAGCGTGCACCGCTCTCTCGAGCAGCAGCCGCATCCTGTGGGCTGAACGCAGGGGCTGAGCGCCTTTTGCTGCTGACTTGAATTTGGCTCTGGAGAGAGCCCCAGTGACCTGGTCGGGACTTGTGCTGCTGCTGTAGCCAAATCGCTTCCCCCCAGCTGAAAGAGCTGTTGGAGAATTCAGTTGTTTTGTGCTTTAAGGATCTAAATGGATTAATAAGTATTAGACGTTTAAGAATCCTCATTGGTTTTAGTCTTTGGGTTTTAGTCTTTGGTCCAGCAGGGTCTTACAGTCAGGCTGAGACAAGAGCATTATTTCTTTGTATGTTTATACAACAGTCTAAGCATAGGGCCAGTAATTGTGGTTAATGCTATCTAAACAGTGAACGCTTCCACTCCTGACGTGTTTCAGAATGAAAAAAGCCTAACTATCAGTCAAACAAAGAAAGCTCCAGCCCTGCTGATAAGAAACTGTCTGTGGAGAGGCAGAAAGCTTGGTCACCCTGGATGTCCTTTGCTGTACCTCTTGCTTCAGACTGGCCATTAAAAATACCATCTCGCTTCACTGTCTGGATTTAAGGCAGCAAATAGGTTGTGTTGTGCAACAAGACCAGTCCCACAAAGATCTTGCCATAAGTTACGAGGTTAAGAACCACCAAGCAGGCGTTAATGGTCTGTAGTCGTGAGGCCATAACCTGCCTTCAGATCCATCAGTGGAGTTAATGCTCCATAGGATTTACTCCAGGGTGACAGAAGAGAGACTTTTCCCTGCTCTGGTCTTGCAACAACGCACCCACTTGCCGAGGGTCCATTCAATGCCTGTTGAAGCTTTCGGTTAACTTCAGTGCATCTCAGACTGGGTGCTTGGCTTGAGCTCTCTCAGCTTCAAGTCAGTTAGTGCTGCCATGCTTCGTATTTCTGCATCCCAGGCAGCTCTCTCCGTGCTGTCCAGAGGGCTTCAGCACTCATTTGGTGTCTTCTAGAGGACACTCCTTCTGGAAGCAGCATGTGCAGGAACTCTGGATGGAATCAGCAATACAAGAAATCAGCTATTTTATTTATCCCTGAACCAAACAAAAAAAATCTCTTTCTAGAGTCAACCTCCAGAACATCAGAGGCTGTGAATTTAGTCTGAATTCTATGTAAAACAATCCAAATAGAGCTTATAATGGCTTCATAAACAAGAGCCTTTTGGTTTCTAACCCCACAGCTGCTATTACTAGAGTGTGATGTGTGAACCTTCCATCTATTAATCCCTGGAAGATGCATGGCTTTGCAGTGATGTGGCATTTGGCAGAGTGTGACTCAAACCATCACTGATTTCCTCATCCTTTGTCTTCACGTTTAGACTGTAAATGGCCGTGTTAAATAGGTGTGGACAATAAGTATGAAAAGCCACCTGAGGCAAACTGTGAAACAAAAGACTCTGTGTTCTCAGATGATGAAGAGAACGATTCATTGGATTGTGCGTCCATGAACAAAAGGCCCAAAAAGAAGGATCAACCCCTTGAGGTACTTCCATATTGTCAAGGCTCCTCCTTCTATGACATTCCTTGAATCTTCAACTGAATGAACATCTCTCTTTGGTGTAAAAACACTGAGTCCAAACAATACATTCCTGGTCTTTCAAGGGTGGGTCTCGCTATGGGTTCGCTCACTTTTCTGCATGTGTGAATTTCCTGAAAGAAGTCCGAATTAGTGCCTGTGGAGACAATAGTATACGGGGCTTCAGAGTTGGATCTGAATTGCTAAACTTGTCTCTAGCTCTAAACCATGTGCTAATGTGGAGGTATTTGGGTGAGAGGATTTGGATATCAACTGCTAGTTGATTTTCCTGTCTGTAGAGGAAAATATATTCTCAGCCACAAAGCAGGATAGTTAGGGTGAGAACAGCCAGCACCCACAGCCAGAGCCCTCAGTTCAGAGCCCGGTCCCTCTCGCGTGAGTTTGCACCTAGCCAAAGCCCACCGAAACCAGTGGCAGTTCTTCCTTCAGGACGTCAATAGGTTTTTGAATCGGGCACTGTATTAACAAGTATGCTTTAAGTTGCTTCATGGAAACCAAAGAACTAAAGGAGACGCAGATCTCACACTGTGGTTTGCCAAAAGCAATTTTAGCAACATTTTGTGATGGACGAAATAAAACCTCCATGGGAGATGCTGTAGGCAAAGACTCCTTCCAGATCTGGGCAGGGGGGATGGAGCCACAGCCAGCAGCTCTCGGATCCGAGCCGGGAGATCTCCACCGTGGGGGAGCTGGGTTTGTTCCACCCTCTGCTTGGCCCAGTGTGAGGGAGCTGGAGCAGTGTGGTTTGGTAAGCAGTGGTGTGACCTTGTGGTGGGTCATCCGACCTCCGGGAGGATCTCAGCAAAAGCTCGGCTGCTCTGTTCTTACCATGGAAAGGTGAAGCCTCCTTAGCTGCTCTCAAAGCTGTCAAGTGGCGTCCCAGAGGAGGTAGAGCTATTCCTTCCTGATTTAAAGAGTCTTTACTGTGCAGTTAACGGCTGCTTTGTTTTAAGAGCCATCTGGCTTCCCAAAGAGCAGCCTTCTCCCAAGCTGCAGGAGATACTGCTGTAGTTGTCAGGCTGTGTCCCCAGGCTCCTGGTCTACAGATAGCGACTGAGCCAGCAGGTATGGAGTCTGGGGTGCTGTGGGATCCCTGCCTGTTGTACACAGCAGCTTTCTTCCTCAGCTTTTCCCCTCCAGCTGTGCCTTTCTGGATGCAGCCATCCCATCCAGCTCTGTTGTGCTTTTGGGGATTCACAGTGGGGACTTGGGGTAAAATTTCAGGCTTGGAAGAGGGGGTGGGGTGTTGGATTAATCCCATCTCTGCAAAGAACTACCTTGGTTTATGGGCAAGCTGGAAGAGACGGAGATTTAGATGGAGTCTAAACAAAACCTTGCTGCACTGCAGTTCCTTATCTGTATGAATATTTATACCTTGCTGCATCACAGGAATGTGGAAACACAGCATGATCTTGGGTTGGAAAGTCCTATAAAATAGGAATGACAAAGTACTCACTTATGAATGGTAAGACCCTGTTGTAGTCTTAGAAGCAAATAGGTTGATGCTGTTAAAGAAAATACAGCTTTGGCTATTTATGTAAATGGAGTAGAAGAGCTTGCAGTGTTACATGATGCTATGACAGGCCTCCACACTGAGAATTTGTGCTCTTCCACATCATCTGGTAACCATTTCTTTTTGTGAAGCTCGCAAGACACAATGCTATGCCAAAGCTCTTCTGAGAGAAGTATGCACTGCAGATGAGGTTTGGGGTTTTTTGTTTGCTTGTTTGCTAGTCTTAACTAATTTCTGTCTCAGTCTGGAGAACAGGGTTAATCACAGTAAACCAATTTCATGGAGTTGGTCTGGCTCCTCCTGGGCGTTCAGGGCTCCTTTTGAAAGCTCTCTGCATCAGCTGGCTGCAAGGCAGAATTGCAACAGTTGGCTTCTAAAATAATTTCAATGGATTATGTCTGGCCTGTCTCCCAAGTGAGGGGCTGAACTTTTAAAAGAGCTCTGCCTTGTGAGAATTACAGGCCCAGTGTGTTTCAGCTTGGGGACCCCTTCAGCTTTGCAGTGCCCCAATGAGATGTAGCCTCAGCGGGGCTGTGGCTGGGTTGGACAGCGCGGGGTGGGCTGGGAGACACCAGAGCTGGCTTTCTGCCACCAGTTTGCTCTCTTGATCCAAGAGCTGCTGTAAATGGCACCAGTTTGTCCCAGCTCCTTCGACTGTGATGTTGTTAGCAATCTTCAGCCACACCTCTAACCAAGCGCCAGAGGGGAAGGTGTTGGTGTAACGTGGGTAGAGGACTACAAGGGGTTTCTTACAGGGGTGAGTCTTCAGCTGGTCATTCATTAATGATCTTCAGGGCCAAGATCTGCTTCTCCGTTACTTCATGCCTGGAACGGAATCATTGTCACAGAGGTGGGTGAGTTTTAAGGAAAGAAAAAACATTTCCTATTATGCTGCTGAAGTTTTCTCTTGCTTTTCTGCAGGCACCGCCTAGGACCCTTAGACCTCGCTTCAGGAAGAAAAGTACCTCGTCCTCTGCCACTGAAACAATGTGAGTGCAATGAGCCAATAGCACCAAGATCCACAGAATGTCTCTCTTCTGCCTTAAAGAGCTACTCGTTAATAACGTAGGAAACAGCAGTGGGATGGATGTGCTTTGATGTACAGCATTGTAGACATGGCCTTTCTCTCTCCTCTCTCTGTATCCTTCTGTTGTTACACGCTTCTCGCGTTTGTCCGTGACGTGGGTAGGACAGTCTGGCAGACACCTGCAGGTTAAGAGTCCTTGTTTCGTTTGCAGCGTGTATGCCCGCTCACGCTAATCCTATAAGGCTGGACATTTACAATTCTCATTTGTGTCTGCATCGCTCTAGCTCTGTGAATGCACAGTGGAAACAAAAATAATCAGTTACTCATGATGATACATTGACAGTGTATTTATTTATGGCTTTATCATTAATGAAGTGGACTTGCAGAAGCCATGGATTTCTCTTTCCTCCCTTCCTCCTCAAGGCTGTGAATGATGTAACAAATGTCAAAGTACTTGGACGGCACAACATGTCCAAGATTCATTAGCGATAGCTGAGCTGCAACTCTGTTTCTCTTTCTGCAAGTAAATCACCTGTATTCTGAGAAAACCATTGTGCTAAAACCCATAGAGACAGAACCACTTACAGAGGACGAGGAAGAGACGTGCAAGAGAAAACAAATGGTTTCAACAATGTAATGAAGGGGGAATCTTAATTTTGATCAGCCTGAGCCAGGAGAGTATTGTGTGGAAAATGATGGCGGCTAGAAGAACTAGATCGTGCCGCTCGCAGCCAATGTTCTACTGCCAGTTTTAAAGCGTGAGCAAACCAGGCTTGTACTAGCTGCAGCGACGGAAGTTAGAATCACTTTAGTGATGCACTTCCAAGGTGAAAATTCACCTTTCTGCCCTGCCTGCAGCAGCGTCGGTCCCAGCGCTCTGCTTTCCTGGTGAGGTGCTGCTCTTTTACTGGCACGAGCAGAGCGGGGCGCTGGGTCTGAGCTGCTTTTTGAAGCCTGGAGTTTCGCCTGTAGCGTGGAGTTTGGTTAGAACCACAAGAACCAGACGGAGGGGTGTATTTGTATCCATATATAAATGAGAAATATAAAAGAAGAGGAAGACGTGGTAGGGTTTGTGTATTTGTGCTTCAAGTTGGTGTCTCTTGTAAGTGTTGAGCATGTGAGATTCACACATCAGTTAATTACGTGGCCCTTTGTGTTTGCGCTTGGACCTGTCACATCATAGACTAGAACAACATTTAGCATTACGTAGAACGTCCCATCACTAATGGATCAGTACACGGGCTTGATGATGAACAGTACTGTTAATTTAGTTCAGGTGCAGCAGGCCAGGATGCCAATAGCCGGCTGGAGTCTATCAATCAGGCTCAGAGATAAATCTGAAGTGGCCTTTGAAACCTTTTCTCTGCCGGGTATGCATTGATCTCCCAGCTGTCCCTGTCTGACGGATCCCTGAGGTTTCCCCCAGAGCTTCCTACATACGTGGGGAAGAGAGAAGTAAATGATGCGCACGCACAAATGTTGATCTGACCTGGCTGGGGAGTGGAAAAAGCAAGCAGGTATTTCCTGTGTCTGCCACAATATTTGGCCTCATTACCTGACAATTTTATTTCCTTTACATGTGCTAATTCAATCATATTTTGCAATGGGTAAGAAGTAAAAAGCCTTCAGAAAGTAAACTGAAAAAACAATCAACAAACCTGTCTAAATAGCAGTTACAGAAGAGTCAGTCCTTGGAAGATACTCAGCAAAGGCTTTGAGGAGCTAAGCTTGTGCGTTTTATTTTTAAGCAGCTTTAGAGTTTATTTGATTTCTTTTGGCAAACATTAAAAAGAAATAGAGAAACTGCCTGCAGTGTTAGCAGAAAATAAAATCCTGTTGCAAGCAAGCTATGTTTCCCTGCTATGCAATGGGCTGCCATAAGATAAAAAAGAAGCTGACAAGTTTGCACTCAATTATGCCAAAAAAACCCAAGAACATAGAGCTACATAACATCTGACGACTTCTGTTCTCAGACACGCTGTATTAACATGGATTCTCACTAAAATTATTAAATGTGCGTCTAATCTGCTGTTTTACTGTAAACTTGACTGTTTAGCATTTCTTAAGTGCTGAGGTGAAATTGTTGACAAGGGAGTTGCCTTATATCTCTCAAAACATTCACTGTATAAATGAGAAAAATAAACCTTTTCGTATCTCTGGCAAAAATGTATTAATTTATCAACTGAGCTGTATATTTGTGTATAGATAGACAAGAAATGTGAATGCCTAACCACGTACACTTTGTGCTGTAGCGTTCTGTATACAGAAGAGAACTGTCATTTGCTTTTGATCCCTCATCCTCCGCACACAGGTTGTTTACAGGCTGTCCTTTCCCTTTGGCTACTTGCCTTCACGCAGAATAAACGCCAGCCGTGAAGTCTTTCCTTGCAGTTTTTCTCTTGAGCCTCCTGCCGAGGAACCAGCCCGGTTCAGCCGGTCGCCGTCCTGCGCTGATGCTGAGCCCTCCTGGCAAACGGGAGTTTGAGCCAAGGGAGGATGGATGGATGGTGGCTTCTTAGTGTGGGCCGATGGCCAGCAAGTCTCAGCTTCCTCCCAGCTCGGGCTCTGAGGGGGCAAGCCGGCTAACCCCTGGCAGATTACTCCTCCTAAAAGCAAACAATCTTTCAGGTGATGGTTTAAAATAGCAACAAGTCTGGCTTAAGTAAGAAAAACCCGGTTTTAGGGGCCTTTCAGGCAGCTGGCCTCTACAGTCTCCTGCCTTCGCAGAGACGGCCTGGGGAGCGTAACGCTGGAGGGAAGGGGCCAGCCCTGGAGAACGCAGCCTTTAACCAGCACAAGGCTCCAGCGAAACACGCGTTGTTGTAAGCCAGTAAAATTGAGGCTGAGGGGAAGGAAACTACAGCTGCAGGTGGTCCCTGGAAAACGGGCCTGTGAATTACCTCACCCAGGTGCCCTACATTCACCTCAGTTATGAAGAGAATAAGCTCGAGCAGGTCAGCGCGGTCCTCCGTGCCTCCTTTCTTGTCGCAGGGGCCAGTGCCAGCGCAGTGACAGCGGTCGCCAATCGCTGAATCGGGATGACGTCAAGTATAGCCGAGACAGACTTCACGTGCATCGCTGTCACCTTGGAGTTAATCCCCCGCCGATCTAAATTGCCTAAGTGCACACCCAGCACGCAAGGAAAGGCGAATCGGGTTATTTATTCCTCATGAGAGGGAGAAAGCTGCCGGGAGAGATACGCTGCTCCCTAGCCTCGTGTAAACAACCTGCTGCCTCTGACGGCTCTCTGAAGCGTTCTCACGCAGCGACGAAACCCTCGTACTCGTGACCCAGCGCTCGTTAATCCCAGTCTGCTCTTTCGCCGTTTGTTTCGGGTACCCGTTTTGCATCTAGCACCATCTCTGAAATAGCAGAGAACACTACGTTGGGATTTGCGTTTAGACAAACTGTTTAAGGATCATAATCGTGCCCTTCGTGTCATTTCTTTCCTGTGATCGGTAGAAAAGGTCTGTGATGAAATGGTACACTTAACGCCTCGCAAGGACGGCCATTACAACAGTATTCCAAAGGTCGATGTTTTGCTGGTTTTGTTACACTGCTTGATACACATCTTGAATAAAGTCTTAATCTTTTCTTTAAAAAAAAAAAAGAAAAAAAAGAAGAAAACATCTTTAGTCTGTTCCATGTATCTGGCAGGCCAGAATGATTACTTTGATCGCTGTATTATTTTTATCTCAATTCTGGCTGACTGTATATAGATGTATTCACTAAGTGCTGCATGTCCTTCAGAACTTTCTGTATTATGAACTGGAAAAAAAAAAAAAATACAGCTACTGAACACTCTGAGTAACTCGTGAATTCATTGAAACGCTACGGCCTTGGACAGCAAAGCATCCCTTGCTATACAGGTGGCTCTGGAGCTGATAACCAGGCACTGTTTGCTTAATAACAGGGTAATTATTAGTGAAGCTACTACTAGGAGCAACTGCTTTTCGTACGCTTGCTGGAGTACCAGCTTTGTAGAGAAAACCTCCGATGTAGCCCTTAGTAAAACCAGAGACGAGTCGCATTGTACACCCCAAAGGGACCCTGTAATAAATCGTCGGCTTTGTTCCATATACGCATGTGATCAGAGACGTGCATTAGGCTTAAAGAAAGAATAAAAGGTAGAATTAGGCTTAAAGGAAGAATAAAAACAAGAAAATACTCGGAATTGACTGCTTGAGGATGTAGTGTAGGACCCAAAGAATACATTCTACTACTCCAAAACCAACACAGGATACAAAATGTGAGTCCTGTAACGAAATGTGGTGGCTAATACATTTTTAAATTGGTTATAAAAACTGCCCGTAGCCATGAAACACTGGTTTTTCTATGCTCTCTAGCATGGAGACATGGCAGCAGCTTATCCAGTATCGTGACAGGCAACAACACTGAAAGGGACCCCGCTCTGCTTTCCCCCCTTCCCCAAGGAGACTCCGTTCAGGGAGCTACCAGTCAGCATGGACACAGCAAAATACATCCTGGGGTTATTTAAACATGTTTCTTTTAAAAATGTCAAGATCAATCACGTTGAATTATTCACTTTTAGTGATGTTTAGACTGTATTCATCCATGTTACACACAATCACAGGAACCCAACAGACATCAGAACGTGTAGGTGACCAGCTTGACCTCTGCGAAGTAAAATAAATACAAATTACAGCTCAAGAGACACTTGAATATTCCTTTATTTTGGGCATTGATACCCATAATTCTGATCAGATGATATGCATATGTTTATTTAGAAAAGTAACAGGTATTACAGATTTATGTTCTAAAATTAAGCCCATATCATATGTCCCACCACCGCCTTCCTAGAGAGATGCAAAGGTGAAACCAGGATTTCTACACACGAAGATTCGTGCGATCGTGGTACTTCTGGTAGGGATCGTCAACGTACCAATTTCTTCTTTTCCAGAAAGAAGTGGTCATTTTATCAAGGAGTTTACATTGTGTTCTAGTGCACAACACCAGCTCTCTCAAACGCTTCTTCTGGGCAGCCGACTTCTTCCACAGTTTCTTCTTATAACCGGCCTGTCAGAAGAAAATGCACAAAAGACTTTTAAGTGGGTGGCTGCAAATACACATACACAGCGATACGGATAAGCAAAACAGAACAAATCCACCACTTTCAGGAAGGACGGGAGTCTCGGGAGCTTTTTTTAAACTTCCATACTAGCTGCCGCCCTCTAACGGAAGGAAAACAATTAGCCCACTGACTGTAAACGTGTTTTTATTACCAAAAAAAAAAAAAAAAGTCTTACCTTTCTCCTAACCCAAAGGCCATTGTGCAGCCGGAGAAACCTATCGACAACAGCTTTCACAGTTTTCCTCTTTCCATTCCGCAAGCTACAGTAAGTGAGAGTCCTCGCTGGCTGTTGAAGTATACTGGGAAGTAGAGATGTGAGGCTAAAAACAAAAAGACACCCCCGAAATAGGGAAAAAATAGAACAGGAATGAAACATTTTTTTCTAAAAGTAATCACTGGCTTTTTCACATAAAGAGACATCAGAAGCGGCTGTGACTTGTCTGAAGGAGATTCACAAGAACTCGTCTGACATGACAGCACACCGCTTAATGAGTGTGCGCGTGTGAACACCAACTGCAGCGCTGAGCTCCAGCTGAAATTAATCTCACAGTTATTATTCCATACGCGACAGCTTTTTCATCTAATAAGAGGGGTTAAACACTCAAGAGCAAACGTTCAGCTCTGACTGGCATTCAGAAATTACTTTTAGAACATTAATGACCAGCAAGAGAAACAGTGCTGATTATAACAACACGGCTAAAGCCTGTGTCATAGAATCATAGTTGAGGCTGGAAAAGACCCTTAAGATCATCAAGTCCAACCGTTAACCCAGCACTGCCAAGGCCACCAC